TTGCTTTATTATTTATTAGCAGGACAGTACTGTGGCTTGAACTTAGGGCCTTGGGCTCTCATGTATTTTGCTAGCTCACAGCTGTTATTGTACCACTTGAGCCAAACTTCCAGTCCAGGTTATTGCTGGTTATTTTAGAGATAGAGTCATGGACTTTTCTGCCCAGGTTGGCTTGAAACTGTGTTCCTGTAGGTCTCAGCCTCATCATCACTAGTTAGTATGACAGGCATGAGCCACCACCACCACCAGGTTGTAATAATATCTCACAATTTTTTTCTTGTAACCCTCCTTGCTATTGCCACATGCCCATGTTTAGTATAAATTAGTACTGAGAAAGAGTGATTTTTTTTCCTAAGATATTTTAGATTGCCAATATTCTAAAATTATGAAACTACTCTTCTGAAAACTGAAGAATTCAGATGAAAGCTAAATTTGTACAGACCTATTCTTAAAAGCCTGAGACTGAAAATCTGTGGCTTCTTTTTAGTTAATCATTAAATTACTTTTAAAGTACACACACACACACACACACACACACACACACACACATATTTCGGGTTAGCCAAAGGAAACATCATGTCCACATTCCAGTCTTGGTCCTAAGCCTAGTATGGTTTTCTAAAATTGTTAAAGATGTATGCTTCTAAAAGGCATTCATTTTAAGTTTTGACATAAAATGTGACTAATCAAAAGGCACCATTAGGGTAGGGTGCAGAAAGGGAGGGAGAAAGGATGAACAAAGGCAATCAAGCTGTGTATTTCATGTATACACTACATGGAAAATGACCTATATAACTTGTGGGCAGTAATGGGAGGGGGAAACTGGGGGAAAGTAAAGGAAGGGGTAACATTGTCCAAAAAAAGAAATGCTCTCATTACTTGGCTTATGAAATAGTAGCCCCTCTGGTTAACACCTTAATAATAATAAATTAAAAAGCACGGTTTTCTTTCTTCTATGCAAAAGCATGGATGGCCTGTAATCACTTCATCTGTGTATCCATGTGTGTGGATGGACTTATAGGGAACGAAGATGGAAGGAAAAATAATGAGCTATGAGTCCTTATAGAAGTCTGGAATGAAATACCAGAAAACCAGTCACCTCTGGCTCCAATCCATAACCTCCATAGAATTGGGTGGCTTAGCTCAATACTCTCTGAAGAAATTCCTATTTGTGAGATGAAATTGAACTGCACTTACAAATTGGTCTTCGCTGATAAAGAAAATGATTTTTTAGTGGCTTCTTTAAAAGCTCTAAGTGGTTTCCCTAATAGACAACAAATCATAAGACACTATTATCCAAACAGATGGGCTCCAGAGCCCTGTTTGTGAGATAGAATGTCTAAAAATTGGGTGTTTGCACCAGTCGTGGTGTCTGATCCTATTGATTTTGTTAAAAAGAAAAAGAATAAAAGAAAAAAAAAAGAAATTAATTGACTAAAAATGATTGATCCTGGAATCTTATATGGATGACTTCAGTCTCACTTTAGCTGTTATTTCATCATGTCCATTGCAACATGACTGCTCAGTTCCAAACTGTGCAATCTCGGGCTGGGAAGGTGGCTCAGTGGTAGAGTGCATGCCTAGCAAACTGTGCAATCTCAGTTTTGGGGTACTGCCAAGCCCTATTTATTTCATTTCATTTTCTATTGGTAAACTCACATAGTATGTTGTATGAGGACCTTCCATGTTCCTCAAAAGATGAAAACAAGGAAAAGAAATCATAGGGGAAGGCTGAAAATCAGAATAAAAATGCAACATCAAATTGACAGGATACTTTTCCTTGTCTTTGAAGTGGTATTAAAGATCAGCAATTTTGAGTTTGCCTCCCTGGCAGGTTATGTGTTTAAATAACACAGTAGGAAAGAAAAATACACATACTACCTGAGAACATCATGACAAAAGTATTTCAATGTGTTAGTTACTTTTGTGTCACTGACAAAACACTGACGTAAACAACTTAAGGGAAGAAATGCTTGTCTTGGCTCACAATTTCACAGGTTTTAAGTACACCAGGGGAACCAGGAGGGGTAGGAATAAAGGGGGTTAGAAAGAGAGAGAGGGGTGGGGGGAATGATTCTAGTCTGTCTCCAGCATATACAATGGTGCTGCTCCGAATTCATATTCAAAGGGGTCTTCCCCCTTAGTTAATGTCTGGAAACACCTTCAGAAATACAGACAAAGGTGTGTTTTACTAATCAACAGGGCCCTTTTCAATTCCATCAAGTCCACAAAGAAGACGTTCCTTTATTCTTCTATAGAGACACACTATTGAATTTCTTATTATAGGAGTGACTACAGGCTTTCATATTTTCAAATAGTAAGCATAGGTCTGCGCTAATTTACTGTATTTTGCTTCAATCTCCATTCACTGTGAGAAATAGCTAATCAGGAGTTTTAGAAATCATCTGGCTATATTTCTTTATCTATATAGACCAGAAAATATTAATACACTAACTGTTTGGAAGAGGTGTTACTTGCAATTTTTTTTTGTCGGTCTTGGGGCTAAACTCTAGGCCTGGACGCTGTCCCGGAGCTCTTCAGCTTGAGGCTAGTAGTACTCTACTGCTTGAGCCACAACACCAATTCTGGCTTTTTCTGCTTATATGGTACTGAGGAATCAAACCCAGGGCCTCATGCATGCAAGGCAAGCACTCTACCACTGAGCCACCTTCCCAGCCCCATCTTGCAAATTTTAACATGCAAAAATTGAAAAAAAATCACACATCACTATAACTTTCTAAGAATTTTGTAAATTTGAAGCTTTGATTAGTTAGTATTCGTTCAAGCTTTTTCAACTCAGCAAATTTTCTGCTAAAAAAGTATGGAATAGGGGCTGGGAAGGTGGCTCAGTGGTAGAGTGTTTGCCTTGCATGCATGAGGCCCTGGGTTCGATTCCTCAGCACCACATAAGCAAAAAAGAAAAAAAAGCCGGAAGTAGCGCTGTGGCTCAAGTAGTAGAGCACTAGCCTTGAGCTGAAGAGCTGAGGGACAGCGCCCAGGCCCAGAGTTCAGGCCCCACGACTGGACCCTTAAAAAAAATATTTTAAAAAAAATCGAGAGGGCTGGGTAGGTGGCTCAGTGGTAGAGCGCTTGCCTTGCATGCATGAGGCCCTGGGTTCGATTCCTCAGCATCACATAAGCAAAAAGAAATGAGCTGGAAGTGGTGCTGTGGCTCAAGTGATAGAGCACTAGCCTTGAGCTGAAGAGCTGAGGGACAGCACCCAAGCCCAGAGTTCAGGCCCCATGACCGGACCCCCCTCCCCCCCAAAAAAAAGTATGGAATAAAATGGTATCATCTTTTTTTTTTTTTTTTTTATCAGTTGTGGGTCTTGAACTCTGGGCCTGGGCACTGTCCCTAAGCTCTTCAGGACAAGGTGAGTGCTCTACCACTTGAACCACAGTGCCAATTCCAGTTTTCTGGTGGTTAATTAGAGATAAGATCACACAGACTTTCCTGACCAGGCTGGCTTTGAACTATGATCCTCAGATCTCACCTCCAGAGTAGCTAGGATTATAGGCGTGAGCCACCCACACCCAAAGGAATCATCCTTTTAGCTGTAGAAACTCGGTGGAATGAAATAAGATCAACAATGAACCTTATTCTGTTACTTTACAGGTTTTAATCACATTATCTCATTCATTATCAGTAGACTGTGGCTTCCTGTGGCTGGAATGAAGCATTTGTTTAACTTATTATTTTATCTCCAACATCTTGTGTAGGGGCTGGCACAAAATAAGTGCTCAACGAATGTTGGGTGAATTTTGAACCAGCCGGTAATGTAGGTAGAGCAAATATTCTCTGTTTTCCCACTTTACAACAAAGCAACATAGCAGAAAAGTTTAGTGACCTGTTCAAAGTCATATGGCCAGTTAGCAGTAATACCAGGCCTATAATCTACTTCTTCAGACTTCAAAACCTGATTTTTTTTCTCTAGATTCTTAGATTATAGGGTCCAAATTGGTAAGCCCTATAAACTCCATGGGCTTGATTTCCCTTATCTATACAATAGAGAACCTATTACTGCATTATTCTATAGCTCAGAAGTCTCACTCTAGGCTAATACTATGGGCATAATTAAAATATCATTTACAGTGTTATTTGGCTTCTGAGAAGCTTACATTCACCAAAGAAGTGGTATTAATGGTGGATTTAAGTGAACCTAGGGCTTCAGATGATCCAGAGAAAAGAAGCCCAGGGTTACAGTCACATATCCATATTCTAATAGTGGAAGACATTTTCAGACTAGAATCTTCCTTTAGGATGTTGGGGAATGAGACTGAAGTTAGTTTAAGTTTTAACATGTAACTACTCTTGAAGTTTTCAGGTGACAATGTCTGTACCTAAATACTTCACTTATCCAGCTCACTCATCCCCTCTGGTCCTCTTCCCCACTGACATACTCCATGCCAATTTCAACCTCAGAGTAGGAAGTTAACTTTTATATTGAAGCCATTTTACACAGACTCCTTTGCATAGACCATCAACAATTTCAGAAATTAATTTCCAATTTGCATTTCATATTTATCAAAAGAACTGTTATACTCATTACATTAAAAGCTCTTTTTTTTAGCAGCTTTGTAAATATTTATTTGCTATTTGGAGTCTTTTTTTAAGGAATTGATTCATTCTGACACCCTAGGTTGTTTTCTAGCAAGCCCAAATACAATCTGAAGGCCCTGTGTAAATTACTACCTCTAATTTCCTACAGCAAGTTACTTGTTTCAAATGTACATAAATGGAAGATGTCAAGAACATTTAGTCTGTTGTACCTGCCATGGTTAGTTACCTTCTCCAACCACAGTGCACACGGTAAAATCTGATTACAGAAGGACTGAGAAATGAAAGCTCACCTGGAATTACCGACAGTTTTCTCATATAAGAGGTGATCATGACACTATAGTCTGCAGAACAAGGTTCTTGGGGGCTTACACTCCTCTGCAGAAAGTAAATTCATTTATCATCATGCTTCCTAAATCTGAAACAAATCATTACCACTTACCGAAAATTTCGAACCATGAAATGGTGACCATGTCTAGGAGCTGCATTGTTCAACAGGATCCTCAAATTAGACAGCATCATCTTTTTTTTTTCTTGCTAGTGAAAAGGATGAGTCTTTTGTTCTTGAAAACTCCACCGCAAATCAGCCAGTGAGGCCCCTTAAAAGCTAAGAATGCTTTTGATTACAGAGAAGGAGCAAAGGTCTTATCATCCAACTACCTTATCAGGCTGACCTGATTAGAGATTTAGCAGGGCCCGGCACTGGGGCTTTTGAACTTTAAGTCTAACTCCACTGTTGTGGGTTTTTTTGGTGTTTGTTGTTCTTTTCTTTTTTGCATCTAGCCTCCTCATTTTTCATAATGTATTTGTGCTGTCACATGCTTGTATAAAATCAGTTGACAAGTTCCCATTGAGCATATAATGTATGCAAGGCACTGCAGTGCTGACTGCTGTGAAAGTACATAGAAATAACTCATTCAGAAAAAGTGACTTGGCAGTGCAAAACCCCAGATGTAGATATGACAGCCCTGAGTATTCCCACTGATTGCACTTCCCTACCTCTCATTTCCTGCTTTTTCACAAAAGCAAATAGACAGAGGTTGGTCTGGGAGCTTTTTTTTTTTTTTTTTTTTTTGGTGACATGAAGCTAGAGAGTGGTAGAAGAATTTTTGTGGGGGGGCCTGAACTCTGGGCCTGGGCGCTGTCCCTTAGCTCCTCAGCTCAAGGCTAGCGCTCTACCACTTGAGCCACAGCGCCACTTCTGGCTTTTTTCTTATGTGGTGCTGAAGAATCGAACCCAGGGCCTCAGGCATGCAAGGCAAGTGCTCTACCACTGAGCCACCTTCCCAGCCCCTGGTAGAAGAATTAAAAAAAAAAAAGAGTTCAGTCCAGGGGCTCTCCTTGTGCCTTGCACATAGTAAGCTTCACCAAGTTAAATTTGCCTACTGATTCTAGCAGGAGCTCATCATTGGTAGCAATATATGGAAGGGATGCTCTATGCTCCTTCCCAGCAGCCTCTCCAGAACATGGAGGGGCCATCCGCTGCTTCACATTCACTCTCTTATCCACAGCTATAAATTGGATGTTTTCAAAGTCTATTTTGTGTCTGACACTGAGCTAGACTGGAATTTCAGAGAAGGAAATGATCTCATCTTTGCTGGGCCTACATTTCAATAAGAAAGATAAAATCTGTAAATAAATGTCCATAAAACAAGCCTGTAAGAGAGGTCTCGATAAAGCTGTTCTGCATCATTGAGAAATCAGGAAGGGTGGGAGACTGGGAGGGTTAGAGGAGGGTGGTAGGGAGGAGGAGGAAGAAAAGAGGAAGGAGCTGCCTCTTCTGGTAGACTCATATGACTTAGCAAACTCAGGAAAGCATTTGCTAGATTTTAGAATGTAAACATATGTTATTAGAAAACAACTATGAGCTGGGTTCTGGGTGGCTCATGCCCATAATCCTAGCTATTTGAACGCCTGAGATGGAGAAGCTTGTAGTTTAAGACCAACTTGGGAAGAAAATTTCACCAGACCTCCTTTTCAACCAACAGCTGGATGCAATTGTGCCCATTATCTCAAGCTATGTATGTGAGAGGCTGAGATCTAGAGGATCACAATTCCAAGTCAGTCTGAGCAGAAAAGTCCTCCAGACTCCATCTCTGCAGAGGGAAGCTAGATGTAGTCATCTCAGCAAAGACAGGAAGTCTAAAGCAGGAAAGCACAACCCTGTTTTAAAAATAACCATAAAAGGGCTGGGAAGGTGGCTCAGTGGTAGAGCGCTTGCCTTGCATGCATGAGGCCCTGGGTTCGATTCCTCAGCACCACATAAGCAAAAAGAAAAAAGCTGGAAGTGGCGCTGTGGCTCAAGTGGTAGAGCTCTAGCCTTGAGCTGAAGAGCTGAGGGACAGCGCCCAGGCCCAGAGTTCAGGCCCCACAACCGGACTCAAAAATAAATAAATAAATAAAAATAACCATAAAAGAAAAAACAAAGCTAGAGCTGGGAATGTGGCTCAGTGGTAGAGTGCTTGTCTAGCATACATGAAGCCCTGGGTTCGATTCCTCAGTACCACATAAACAGAAAAAACCAGAAGTGGCACTATGGCTCAAGTGGTAGAGTGTTAGAAGAGTGCAAAAGAAGGTCAGGGACAGTGCCCAGGCCCTGAGTTCAAGCCCCAGGACTGAAAAAAGAAAAAAGAAAAAGGAACAGGCTAGAGGCAGATCTCCATGATATAGTGCCAGCCTTGCAAGCATGAGGACCTGAGTTCAAAATCATTTCAGAAAAAAAGATAGTTTTGATATCATAATTAATATTAGCTGGGAGATCGATCACTGCTCCCTTCTGTTTGTGGAGAATAAAGTGGGATATAGGGAGGGGAAGACTGAAGCTTCCAAACTTCTGCCAAATCTCTGATCTAGAAAGAATATTCCAAGCAGTAGCATCTGTCTGTGAAAGCACAGAGAAGGTAGTGTGAATAAGCCAAGTACATGGTTGCTTTGTATGAAAAGACAGTAAAGCATCTTTGAGGAATCTAAACTGGGCCAGTTGTTTTGACAACATTTCTCTGAAGATCAAGGAAGAAAAAGGAATGTAAGGAATTTGAGGGAGAAAAGGGCTAGCCCAAGTTAAGTAGAGCTCCTATCTTTATCCCTTTACCTTCAGTAAATTGTGAACAAACAACTCTTAAGAAAAATGCCTGGGGGGCTGGGAAGGTGGCTCAGTGGTAGAGCGCTTGTCTTGCATGCATGAGGCCTTGAGTTCGATTCCTCAGCACCACATAAGCAAAAAAAAAAAAAAAGGCCAGAAGTGGCGCTGTGGCTCAAGAGGTAGAGCGCTAGCCTTGAGCTGAAGAGCTGAGGGACAGCGCCCAGGCCCAGAGTTCAGGCCCCACGATCGGACCCAAAAAAAAAAGAAAAATGCCTGGGGGGCTTGGAAGGTGGCTAAGTGGTAGAGTGCTTGCTTAGCATGTCCAAGCCATGGGTTAGATTCCTCCAAACCACATAATCAGAAAAGGCCAGAAGTGGCACTGTGTTCAAGGCCCTGGAAGAGGAGCTGTGGCTCAAAGAGGTAGAGCTCTAGCTTTGAGCAAAAGAGCTCAGGGACAGCACGTAGGCCCGTGACCAACAAAAAGAGAGAGAGAAGTGAGCATTGGTGGCTCACACCTGTAATCCTAGCTACGCAAAAGGCTGAGATCCGAGGATCGCAGTTCAAAGCCAGTCCAGGAAGGAAATCTGAGAGACACTTATCTCCAATAAACCAACAGAAAAACAGAAGTGGTGCTGTGGCTCAAGTGGTAGAGCGCTAGCCTTGAGCTGAATTGCTGAGGGACAGCGCCCAGACTCAGAGTTCAAGCCCCATGACCGAACAAAAAAGGAAGGAAGGAAGGAAGGAAGGAAGGAAGGAAGGAAGGAAGGAAGGAAGGAAGGAAGGAAGGAAGGAAGGAAGGAAGGAAGGAAGATTCCTGGAGAGAATTCAAGAACTGTACTTTCATGCCAGAGTACATGGGCAGCACTTCTGAGATGTCAAAGAACTCATAGATTCTAATTCTCTAGGAACTCAAAGCTGGAGGTGACTAAGACAAACTGAAGCCACCCATAAAGATTGAAAAGGAGAAGTGACACCATAAGTGCGTTGATAGGAAAAGCAATTTCACTGAACTTCATGACAGAATTTCTTCATGGACTTGAGAAGGTTATCATAGCCAGCCAGCTCGCTTCTGCAGATTGAGCTTGTTCTGCTGGTGGAGTCTGTTTACTTATCGGCTTTGGGATAATCCATCTTCAGATTTTTTTATTTTTATTCTTTTTGGCGGTCATGGGGCCTGAACTCTGGGCCTGGGTGCTGTCCCTCAGCTCTTCAGCTCAAGGCTAGCACTACCACTTGAGCCACAGTGCCACTTGCGGCTTTTTCCGCTTATGTGGTGCTGAGGAATCAAACTTAGGACCTCATGCATGCAAGGCAAGCACTCTACCACTGAGCCACCTTCCCAGCCCAATCTTCAGAATTTTTAAGCATTCATGTTGACCACCCTTCCCTCCCTACCCCCCTGTGGTTTCTCTAAGTTAGCTTCAACTGCTGTGTTTGGCTCCCTAATAGTTTCTAGTGTTCACCCAATCTTCTATTCATTTATTTTTCTCTGACACCAAAAATAGTTGTCTGAAGGGGGTGGAGGGAGGGAAAGAGAGAGGAGGGGGAAGAATGAGTGCCTTCTCATGTGGATTTCATTGTTTGAAATTGAAGTGAAGAAACTGAGTCACAGCCATCCTGGAGCCTGGCCAGGTGCTAGGGGAAGTTGGTTTCACAGATACCCTGAAGTCTAACCAAGAGATGAAGGATGTCCACCCAGCTCCAAGGCCTAGAGGTGAGACAAGCCATCTTTTGAACTGCAGATGCTAGTTCAAAGGGTAGAGCCAGGAAGGCCCATCTTTGGAGAAAATGTAGATACATCTTTACACTGATACATCATGTTGTTTAGCCCCAGGGGAGCCGTGCTCCTGGAGCCCTGTTTCTGTACAATACTTAGCTGAGGCTTGGTCTCCACCTAACATGTAACCTTTGTCTTTAAAAGCTTGGTGCAAGGGGCTGGGAAGGTGGCTCAGTGGTAGAGTGCTTGAGGCTCTGGGTTCGATTCCTCAGTACCACATAAGCAGAAAAAGCCAGAAGTGCCGCTGTGGCTCAAGTGGTAGTGCGCTAGCCTTGAGCTGATGAGCTGAGGGACAGCACCCAGGCCCAGAGATCAGGCACCATGACTGTCAAAAAAAAAATGCCTTATCTGCAGCTGGAAATGTAGCTTAGTGGTAGAGTGCTTGCCTAGCATGCATGAAGTCCTGCTGTGGCTCAAAGTGGTAGTGCGCTAGCCTTGAGCAAAAGAAGCTCAGGGACAGTGCCCAGGCCCCGAGTTCAAGCCCCTTGACTGGCTTTATCTGGAACTAGAAACCAACTAAAAAATAAACAATGGGCACCCAGCCCTACTCCCATTATCTACAGTGCTCTGGGCCATTACCTCACACAGTCACCTTATAATCACCTTGGGCTCCTAGAAAGTCTTGATTAACCAATAATCATCTTTTTTTTTTTTTTGGTCAGTC